TCAGCCATGTGCCCACTGTGCATGCGCGAGTAGCGCTGTGCTTTCTGAATGGCCCCGTCGTCTTCTGCGACCTGTCACGTGTCCCACAAGACCTCGGGGAGGGAGGGTAAGAGGACAACTTCCATTTCTGATCGCCTGGGCGATCGCAGTAGAAGTGGGACCGGGTACCTGTCAAATTTGGAGGGCATTGTACAGGGGGCAGTAATGTATAATACAGAGATTTTCTCCTCAAGCAGAACAGTGTAGGGAAGCTGCTGTCACAGATCTTACCTGTTCTGACACTGTCACTGGGCTACATCTACAATCAGAAGGACAACTCATGTACACCTTCTTCCCGCAGTTTCAGGTGCTCTTCCGGCATTTTACAGGGGGTTAAGGGGAGAACCCCGAGGCGGAGCATCTTATTACTGCCCCTGGTTTTCTGGGTATGATGATACTGCTCCGATCACATGGGATGTACTGCTCCGATCACATAGGATGAATAGGAGAGGACGGAAGACAGGGTTGGAGCAGTACACATCTTTCCCATACAAGCAGTGGTAGTAGTAAGATGCTCTACCTCAGGGATTCTACCTTTACCCCTGCAAAGTGCTGAAAGAGTACCGAAAACTGCCCAGGGGTGCCCAGCCCACAGGCACTGCTGACAAGCATTCAAAGGGTGATACTGCCACTTTCTAGATGTCTGTTTTTTTTTCTATTTTAACAGCTGCTGACAAGCATTTAAAAGGCAATACTGCCACCTTCTAAATGTCTGTTTTGGGTTTTTTTTTTTTTTAACAGCCAAACAGGGTTTTCAATGGGAATACTGCGCCATAACTCTGATGAGCCCAACATCTGGCATGCAGTTGCAGCACTGCTCCAGTCACTTGATGGCTTGGCATTAGACAGGGGTACCGCCTACTGAAAACAAGGGGGATAATTTTTGCCGTGCTGCAAAACGTCCCAGCCACAGCATGTGTACAACCCCTTGTCTACTAAGTTACATTGATAAATGTCTTCGCATTCAAAAGGTTAAAACAAGCTCACTGTTACTGCTTGAAAAAAATTCCAGTTGATCCCAATAGAAATCCAGCGAACTCATAACTCACTTCCTCTGATGCACTGAAAAAAAATGTTTTTTTTTGCTCATCCTAAAGTCCTTTACCCAGAACCCACAGCTCCCTCCCCTCACCTGATATCTTTCTTTTTTGAACTGTTGGAATGTATTTATTACACCCGGCTATATCCGGCGGCACTGATTGAGAGAAAACTTTCCAACAGGCTGGTTGATCCATCAATCAACTTGTGTACAACCAGGTTTGCCCATACATGGATAAAAATGCAGTTCGTCCATGCTGAATGGGTCAAATTTCAACCTGTGCATGGCTGGCTAAAAGGAATCCAGTGCAGAAAGGCAAACCTTCCAGACAATGGATCACATCCAGACAATGGAGAGAGATCTCCATGGGGTGAAGTAGTGCTGGACAACACAATATCTTCATTAAAGTGAAAAGCAGAAACTAATTTGTGGGTGGAAAAAAAACTTTGTCTTTGTGTAAAATCAAATGGGGCTCCTTACAAGACAGTACTGAACATTATGGCACCCTCTAGCCAAAGTAATTTCCACAAGAAAGGCTACCTTATGAGTTAACAATGGAAGGAGATGTCTTGAATAGAATCAAATGTTAGTTTTTGTAACACAACACTAAGTTCAAATTCATTACCCTACAGATGATTAGGACAGGGTTGCAGCCAGCAACACAGGCTACCTAACAACACCTGACCCTTGATGATGCTTAGGCTAAACATTGTTCTTTCCACAGCTGGCGAAAAGAACACAGTCCACTGAAAAGTTTTTTGGGGAAACCCCCAAAGTTTCACACCAAGAAAAATGTTTTCCATGTAAAACGATAAATCTTGCAGGAAGTAGATTTATGAGCTTTCAAGCATGGGCAAGATAAAATCCACAGTGCCTCTCAGAAACTAGTTTTTCATCAGGCAGGCTGTCAAAGCCAGCAAATGAGAACCATGGAGCATTGGCTGACAAACAAATGAAGTCAACATACCACACTGTGTGAGACCAATATAGGGCTATGAGAATGACGGGAATTACATCACTTTTGATCCTTCAAAAAGATGAGGTAGTAGGTTCAGTGGAAGAAAGGCATAGTTGAGGACATACTGATCCCATGGCACTTCCAGGGCAGCCGCTGCAAACCATAGCATATGCACAGCTGGCATCCTGTAATGCAGACATAAGTACTGGAACATCTCCAAATCAAGAGCCCATTTTACCAGGTGCACATCACTGAAACATTTCACCCAGGACAGGATAGAATCTACCTCTGTTATCACAGCAACACTCCTTGTGTCATCCTGATAATTGATAAAAGCCACAGCTGTAGCATAATTTAATTGGACCCAGACTGGATGGCCAGTCAGAAGGGGTGTCCAGCGAAGTAACGATAGTCAAATCTTTTTGCAACTCCAGGATGTTGATCAAAAGTTTGGATTCTTCTAAGAACCAACAAGTCTGAACAGACAGATGGTACAGAACTCTGCACAAGCCCAGAAGACTAGCATCCATTGTGACAATCGTCCAACATAAGGAAAGAAAAAACTTGCCCTTTGGCAATGCTGGGTCAGGAGCCACCATGAGACCTTGGTTCAGGGATATAACCAAATCCCCTTGTCCAGAGAAAGTCTGGACTTGTCCCACATTGTCAGAATGTTCTGTTGCAAGGTTTATGAGTAGAAATGAGAAAAATTAATTGCTGTAAAGATTGACACCATCAGTCCCAGGACTTCTTCTGGGGCAGGAAGACCTTAGCTGAATGGTATCTAGGAGAAGACCCAATTACTCCAACTGATGTAATGGAATCGGAGATGACTTCTTATTGTTCAGGGTCCACTCAAAAGTTCTCCAAGGTTGGCACTGGTCAAATTGGAGTCCAAAGTTAGAGAGGTCTGATTGTGCATCAGCAGATTGTCCAGATATGGATGACAAGAATACCTCTGAAATGGAGAAGAACCAACACTCTTGTGTTCACCCAGACAAGCCAAACAGAAGGACCATATATTGATTGCTCCCAATGACAAATGAGGTTTTGATCAAATTGAAAGGACAATATGATCTACATATGTTGGGAGAATGTTCAGCGTTTACTTCAGTGATGGACAGGGAGCTCATGGCTGCAGGTCTCACAAGAAAATGCATTGAACTGCAGAGAAAGTTCTGTGCTTTGCTTTCTGCACTGCTGTGACTTGTAGTTCTGCATTGTCTCTGTGGCTTTCCAGACACTGGGATTTTATCCTCTTCTCTTCTGTCACTGTTACCTGTGTGGTCTTGAAGCTGCGGCCAGAACACACAGCCCTCCGAGGACCCGTGATGTGTTGAAGAACCTCTGCCCTCTGAACCTCCTTCTCCATGCCACTCTGCCTAGACTTGCTCAGCTGAGGCCACTGTTGGCTGGTGAGTCCCTGAATTGCTGCCCTGTGCTCCTGGACTTTGCTGTGGCAGTTTGTGGCCTGCTACTCAATGGCCCGGATTGTTGGTCTTTGACTCTGGACTAAGTTTTTGCTGCCAAGAACTTAGCCCCTGTTGTGCTGGATCCCTGTCCATTCCTGCTGTGTATCTAGTTCCTTTTGCAGATTAGTCCTTTGCCTACCAGAACTCTGCTATCCCTGCTCTGTGCCAGCCCCATGTTGCGGACTTAGCCCTTTGTCTACCAGAACTCTGCTATCCCTGCCTTTCAATAAAAGCCTTGTGTGTACTCCTGCCCTTTGTGTGTGTTTTGTTCTACCCATGCCTCCATCACAGCATGACATGTGAAAAAACATTGCTTCCTATGGTGCCTGTTCACATATGTCCGGTGCACTGGCGGTGCAGATTCAGTGCGGTTTTAAAAAGAGTCATCTACGGTTTCTGAGCAGTGTGGTCCGGTTCAGGTGCGGAATACAGGCTACAAGGAGATCTCCCTTAATTTCCTATCCTATAGCCAAAACAGGAAGTGATAGGAAATTAAGGGTATCTCCTGAGGTCACCAGAACTTGTGTCCTCATTGAAAGATTTCCCATTTATCACTTCTGGGGACAATCCAAAATTTTGGATTTTCTTTTACTTTCACTTTCAATAGTAATAGTAAACAGGACAAATAGTGATGAATTCTAATTCATCTCTACTCTAAAACTACTGTAGGAAATGGTTTTCCTTTAGTAATACTTGAAGGCATGCAGAGTTTTTAAATCCAATATAGCACAAAGACCGCCTTTGGTTTGAATAAAAGTCTTAAAATGGTCAGAGGAACAGGAACAACACCTCCCTTGCTTCAACAATCCTTGATTAACTGTGGCAGTACTGGAGGAGACAGAGCTGAAGTAAATATCAAGGGATGGACAGAGATGCAATTCTTTTTATTAACATGTAAATATAATCCCTCTTACCCAAGTGTCAGCAATGCAAGCTAACCAGATCTCTGTGAAGGCCATCCTACACTATAATGGCCAAAAGTATTGGGACGCCTGCCTTTACACGCACATGAACCTTAATGGCATCCCAGTCTTAGTCCGTAGGGTTCAATATTGAGTTGGCCCACCCTTTTTAGCTTCAACTCATCTGGGAAGGCTGCCCACAAGGTTTAGCAGTGTATCTATGGGAATGTTTGACCATTCTTCCAGAAGCACATTTGTGAGGTCAGGCACTGATGTTGGACGAGAAGGCGTGGCTCGCAGTCTCTACTCTAATTCATCCCAAAGGTGTTGAGGTCAGGACTCTGTGCAGGTCAGTCAAGTTCCTCCACCCCAAACTCTCTCATCCATGCCTTTGTGGACCTAGTTTTGTGCACTGGTGTGCAGTCATGTTGGAACAAGAAGGGGGCAATCCCCAAACTGTTCTCACAAATTTGGGAGCATGAAATTGTCCAAAATGTCTTGGTATGCTGACACCTTAAGAGTTCCCTTCACTGAAACTAATGGCCAAGCTCAACCCCTGAAAAACAATCCCACACCATAATCCCTCCACGAAACTTTACACTTGGCACAATACAGTCAGGCAAGTACCTTTCTCCTAGCAACCACCAAACCCAGACACATGCATCAGATTGCTAGACAGAGAAGTGTGATTCATCACTCTAGAGAACACGCCTCCACTGTTCTATAGTCAAGTGGCGGCTTGATTTACACCACTGCATCCAACACTTTGCATTGTCCTTGGTGATGTAAGGCTCAGATGCAGCTGCTCGGCCATGGAAACCCATTCCATGAAGCTCTCTACGCACTGTTGTTGTGCTAATCTGAAGGCCACATGAAGTTTGGAGGTTTTTAGTTATTGACTCTGTAGACAGTTGGCAACTTCTGCACACTGTGCGCTTCAGCATGTGCTGACCCCGCTCTGTCATGTTATGCGGCCTACCACTGCATGGCTGAGTTGCTGTTGTTCCCAGTTGCTTCCACTTTGTTATAATACCACTAACAGTTGACTGTGGAATATTTAGTAGCAAAGAAATTTCACGGATGGACTTATTGCACAGGTGGCAACCTATCCCAGTACCACACTTAAATTCACTGAGGTCATGAGAGCAACTCATTCTTTCACAAATGTTTGTAGAAGCGGTCTGCATGCTTGATTTTATATACCTGTGGCCATAAAGATGATTAAAACACCTGAATCCAATGATTTGGAGGGGTGTACCAATACTTTTGGCAATATAGTGTACATCCCCCACACATTATGGAGCAAATGGGGGTAGACCTTCATGTGGAGGCTGACTTACTACAGGTTTTTAAGCTCTTGGACTAGAAAGAGTGTTTTGAAATTCCAGAACCAGAGTTTGTAGAAGACTTGTCTACAAGTCAAGTTTGGATCTTTGGATCTCATCTTGAGAGTTGACAGCAACAGATTCCAAATGCAAATAGCACACTTGAAATGAACTCTGGACCTTTTATCTGCTCATTCTAATTGGGATAATGAGGGAATAAAACCATGGAACAGCTGGGAAGCCAATTGTCCCATTACTTTGCCAAAAATGTTAGAATTGTGTCGATGTCCCAATATTTATGGACCTGACTGTAGGTAAAAACATCCAACTTTTTTCATACAAAAAAATATATTTTTTAATATTTATAAAACCAAAGCTGTGATAATAATTAATCCTCATGCAATAGTACACACTCCATTTTCAACAGAACATTAAAAATGTCAACAAACTTATACATTATAGTTTTGTTTTTGTGGAGACCCAATGCATTTAATTACATTTCTTCATCAGGGGATAGAGTGCATACCTGAAAAATATCAATTCTTTTTATATCTGTATATGTCAACAATTAACAAATTGCACAATCCTCTTATATCATACTGCTTACAAAGAAAGCATGAGTTAAAAATCTAGTCTGCCACATATTAAAAATCATGTTTTTTCCCACAGGGTTGGTCATATCCAAAATGAGGAGTACAAAATATGTGCACAAGAGGATGCCCAGAGACCATTCAGCTGGGACTGTGGAAGATGATCAAAAAATATATATGGTAAGAGGCATAGTGAGTATCTTGCAGATCTAATTTTTTGTCACAAGGTTTTGAAAAACAAAAAAATACTTTTTTTTTATTTTCTGTCTTCATTTTTCTAAAACTTGTAGCAACAAATGAGATCTCCAAAATACTCACCATGCCTCTAAGCAAATACCTTGGAGTGTCTTTCCAAAAAGAGGTCATTTGGGGGGGGGGGGGGGTGTTTGTATTATCCTAGCATTTTAGGGTCTCCAAACCTGTGATAGGCAGTCAGGAAATCAAAGGAGCAAGTTTTTTTTTATAATCCTTTAACCACTTTACTACCACGCTATAGCCGAATGATGGCTGCACCGTGGTTGTCCAGTTCTGGGAGGCACTATCTGCCAAGTGCAGTGGCCTTTTACCACGTGATTAGCTGTGTCTAATCATAGCTTACCACCATGTAAATATACTTGCCGGTTATAGGCAGTACTTTCCTCATGCTGTCACAGCGTGAAGAAATTACTGCCGGTAACCGGCAACTGTCAAAGCAGACATCTGCATGGATAATCAGGGCACTGATTATCAGTGCTGGCCATTAGTGCTGCCACTCTGTGCCCATCAGTGCTGCTAGTCCATGTTGCCAGTTAGTGTAGTCATTGCCCTTCAGTGCTACATATTAGTGCCCATCATCAGTGCCTCCTCATCAATGCAGGCTGTCACTGCTGCCTATCAGTGCAGCCTCATCAACGCACATCAGTGAACGAGAAAAATTACCTGTTTGCAAAGTTTTTATAATAGAAACATAAAACTTTCTTTTTTTTTTCCAACGGTTTTGCTATTTTTTTGTTTACAGTGCAAAAAATAAAAAAACAGTGGTTATTAAATACCAACAAAAGAGAGCTCTATTTGTATGAAAAAAAATAACAATTTCATATGGGTACAGTGTTGCATAACTGCTCAATTGTTATTCAAAGTGTGACAGCACTGAAAGCTGAAAATTGGCCTCAGCAGGAAGGGGGTAAAAGTGCCCAGTAGGCAAGCGGTTAAAAAGTGCACATTGGTTTTGGGCCCCCGTATGCAGCTAGGCTACCAAAAAGTCTCACATATGGTATCCCCATTCTTAGAAGTAGCAGAATGTGTTTTGGGTGTAATGCCAGGTATACCCATGACATGTGGGAGAAATATCTCAGCAAAGTAACACATTTCTGTAAAAAATTTCTCATTTTCCAGACTCTTGTTGAAAAAAAGCAAATCTTCCAAAGACTCAACGTGCATCTCAGCAAATACCTTTTCAAAACAGAGTCATTTGGGGGGTGCTTATACTGTCCTGGAATTTTAGGGCCTCTGAATATGTGATAGGTAGTCAGGAAATCTAATGCGTAATTAACGCCCCTTGAAAACCTCAGTGTTTATTGGATTTTGGGGACTGTGCTTCAGCTGCCAAAAAGTCTCTAACGTGGTATCCACATACTCAGGAGAAGCAGTAGAATGTGTTTTGCGGTGTAATTCTACATATACCCATGGCATGTGTGAGAAATAGCTCATTAAATTGACAACTTTGTGTAAAAAAAAAAAAAAAAACAAAAAAAAAAAACACATTTGTGATTTTACAAAAACTTGTGGCAAAAAGTAAAATCTTCAAAGGACTTAACATGCCTCAGCATATATCTTGGGGTGTCTACTTTCAAAAAAGGGGTAATTGCAGGGTTTTTGAACAATGCTGGAATTCTAGGGACTCTAAAAACATTACGAGTATGGCGAGCATTAGGAGTTTCTGCCACACCCCTTGAGCATACATGTAATGTTTTTAAAGAACCTATCAGATTCCTCCATTCACATCAGTCAATGTGGATGAAGAAATCTCTGCCAGAAAAAGTGTCTTCCCAATATGAGAAGCTTCTGCTACACATCCATCCACTCTACTAATGTTGGGCATTTTTTTGTCACTCAGCCCATGGGCTGATCGAAAAAAAGAACTGAACAGATTCCTCCATTCATATCAATCGATGTGGATGTAGAAATCTCTTCCAGAAAAAAGTATAAGTTGAGCACAGGAGCTACTGCCCATAACCACCCCACGCTCCTAATGCTGGGCAAACATATATATATTTTTTTGTACCTGAAGGTGGAAAAATCTCCCCCTGCAGTGCTGTAGGCATTTATGTATGTATTCTGAGAGCAGCACCCTGCTGCTGTCATAGTACACAAATCAGTGCAGCAGCTGATTGGCGTTTCTGCAAAGCAAACAATAGTTACCAATAACACACAGTAACAATATAACATTAACTATAGAAAACAACTTTTTTTTTTTATTATACTTTTTGTTTCCTACCTAACCTTTTTTTTTGTTTTCTTCCTAACCTTTCCAGCCTTTGATTTTAGAGTCTCTCAGCATGCAATAGACAGTTTCCTGACTATCTAACATCTTTAGAGACGCTTGTGCAGTATTGTGTGGACCCCTATACTGATCTGTGCTATACCCTACAGTAATAGTCACTATGATGTTTTATTCTGCGTTTACCACAGACACAACTTTTTTGGGGTGACTTTTTGTTGGGGTAGGTTGGAGGACATCTGGAAAATGCATCTCATGTGGCCAGCTAACTACATCTGGATTTGGGCCACAGCGTCTTCTGGATACAAAAGGGCTGAGATGATCACTAAAATTTTAGTAAGGATCCAGTTCTTCCATTAGCTTTGTAAATAACAAACACATTGTATAGAGCCAATTGAAATATATAGACATTTTTGTTTTTACCGGTGTCTATTTCTGTGGGAGGCTAAATACAGCTTCATCATTTGGTGGTTGAAATCTATGTCTCTTATTTAGATTATAGTTGTGGACTGTCTTTTCACTCGTAAATTCTAAAGTGGTATGTATAGCCTGTGGCCTTCTCACAAAGCTTATACATTTTGACCCCATATATGGCACACTTGCTGGGGGGATATTGCATGATTGCAAGTCTGCCAGTAAAAGTTACAAGGGACTTATCCATGCAGATGTTTTGTTGGGGCATATACACATCTGAAAATTTCTGGTTCTGTTCTGACATGTTTGGGCCTCAAGAAATTAGATTGGCTGTCAGTACTTCAGGATTGATCAATTTTCAGATATATCCCACAGTTTGTGAACTCTAACTTTCCTACAGACTAAATAATACTGATTTGGGTTATTTTCACCAAGGAAATGTAGCAGAGTACATATTGGCCTAAATTTATGAAGGACAATTATTTATTTGCAAATTTTTAATAACAGAAACAAAGAAAAATTTGTTTTTTTTTAATTGGTTTTTTTTTGTTAATTTAGCAAACAATAAAAACCACAGTGATGATTAAATACCACCAAAAGAAAGCTCTAGTTGTGTGAACAAAATAATAAAATTTTAGTTTGGGTACAGTGTTGCATGACTGCGCAATTGTCATTCAAAGTGTGAGAGCTCTGAAACCTGAAAATTGGCCTGGGCAGGAAGGGGGTAAAAGAGCCCTGTATCGAAGTGGTTAATTTAATAAAAGGTGTTAAAATGTTTTTCTATTTTTTGCTTCCTATTATTTTTATAATTGAGATAGTTTCATATGGTTTGGTACCTTTAAAACCCCATTAGTTTATTTTGTTAGGGTTATATTCACTGCATTTCCAATTAGAGGTGTGGTACCAGTAAAACCTTTCTACAAGGATTTGGAGAGATTCTCCATCTCCCAACCCACATATATCTAATTGATAGGTACCCACTTGAATGGCCTGGCAAGGTTTGAATTTGGGTTGGCGGTGATGTATTGTTAAACATTACTTTGGTCCGAAATCAAATTACAGAGGTCTTCGGTGAAAAACCAGCTACAAAAAATCAAGGGGCGTTGATAAGTTGACTGTTTGCACCTGAACTCAGAGATGAACTGTGAATGGGGAGTACTGGGTGCTACTAAATCTAGGTGTAGCCAAATAAGATTTAAAAACATCTCTAAAAAGCTACTATGGGCTCTGTGCTCAAATTCTTGGTGGCTTTGATTGCATTACGCTACTAGTACTAGCCACATCACCTTTGCACTGCTGGTGCTTGCCACTTCACCATAAAATACTGCAGAGCTGGTGTCTAAAAGGCTAGGATGTACCACACAGCTGGTGCTTGCCAGATCA